GGGCGGCGTCTCCGGCTCTGCACCGCGCACGCCGCAGTCCTCCGCCTCCCTGGCCTCCCGCGCCCGCACGCCGCCGGGCCGCCCGCCTCGGACTCGGCAGCCCTGGGGTTCCCAGCCAGGAGACACTCACATCAGCTCTGCCATCACCGCCGCCGCCGGTGCCCTTCACGACCACCGCCGCCGCCGCCAGCTCTCGGCCCCTCTGCTGCAGCCGCCGCCCCCCGCCTCCTCCCCCGCCGCCGTCGCTCGCACTGCCCCCCGCCGGAGCAGCCGGGCAGGGGCATCGCCTGTGGCGCCCACCGCCGCCCCTACTGCGGCCGTTACGGGGGCCGCTGCTCTACTCTGCTCCCCGCCGAGAAGGGGAGGGGGAGGTGGAAGGGGCGGGGGGGCAGTGGACCCCGCCTCCCCCAGTACAGCCTGCTGAAGGGAGGAAGAGAGGGTCTCGTGTTCTTCCTCGGGGCGCGCTCTGACCAAAGCCCAGCGCTTGGGGATGGAGGGTGAGCAGGTGTGAAAACGAGAATAAGGACCAGGGTACGGGGAGCGTCCTGACTTCTCCAGATTCCGTGGGGAGGTACGACTCCGGCGGCACCTCGACACGCGCATAGACACTACACTTCCCAAGGTGCTCAGCGGCAGCGAGAGGCCGTGCGCATGCGTGCCGCCTATTGCTGGTCCGCCCAGGAGGGGTTGTGGTGGGAGGGCTGAAGCGCTGCGCGCAGGACAAGCCGAGGACTGGCGTGGGGCCGGGACGGGGGGGCAGGGCGGGACTAGGGAGGGAGAGGTGGAGAATGTCGGTCTCCGGCGGCTGATGTGTATGGTGTGCGCCGCTGACGCTCCGGCGCGCGTTCTGCAGCGCGGGAATAAAGTTTGTTGAATTGGTGTCCAGCTTGGATGCCTGAGTTCCAGGCTGTGCCGTGTGGCGCCCCACAAGTCGTCCAGCTAAAGGAAAAGATCCGTGGGACCGGCTCTGCTCAGGGTAACGTGTTTTCCCCCTTCCTGCTAACTCCAGTTCCAGATCCTGGAGTGTCAGTGTAGGCTAGCGCACCGCCCGGCTTCTCAGACACTGCAGCTGCTCAGTTCCGCGGAGCAGGCCTCGGGGTGTATGGGAGATACCTTCAAAGCAACATACCCTCTTTCCCCCCCGAGCTCTCAGGAAAAGGGCCTAGACGGACCGCGGGACCGCTCCAAGCTCCCTTCAAAGAAGTGTGCTTCCCCGCGCCTCCCGTCCCAGCTTGAGAAGGATGGAGGTGCGCTTACTGAGATGAGAAATTTGTAGAAATAGAGTTTGAGGGAATTTTATACCTATTAAGTGTAATATGATCATTAGCTATTAAAGTATCTAATAATTGGATATATAAGTTTGAAGTTCAGAGGAGTGGTCTAGGCTGTTGATACAAATTTGGAAGTCATCAGTGTACTATAGATGCTTTTAAAGCCAGCAGACTGGATGTCTCCAAGGGAGTGTAGATGGTGAAGACAAAAAGTCTCTGAATTAAATGAGTTTTGGAGCACTGTGATGTTTAGAGGTTGAGGAGGTGGGGAAGTACCAGCAAAGGGTATTGAGAAAGAACTTACTGAAGTAGATGGAGAATCAAGAGAGTATTGTCACAGAAGCTTAATAAAGTGTTTCGAGGAGGGTGTAATTGTGTCGTATGTTGCTGACGTACCGAGTCAGATTTGGACTGAGGATTGGTGCTAGGATTTGACAACAGGAAGGTCATTGGTAACCTTGATGAGAGCCCTTTTGTTGGAGTGGAGTGTTTACTGTGGTTTCAAGAGAGAATGGAAGGAATGGAAATGGAAACACTGCTACGGAAGACTCTTTTTGAGGAGTTTTGCAATAAAGGGGAGAAGAAGAATGGGGGCTGTTAGAGAGTTGAGATTTTGAGTTTTTTTTTTTTAAGATGGGAGAAATTATATATGCTTATATATTGATTGGAGCTCTGGTGGCACAGTGGTTAAGTGCTATGGCTGTTAACCAAAAGGTCGGCAGTTTGAATCCACCAACCGCTCCTTGGAAACCCTATGGGGCAGTTCTACTCTGTCCTGTAGGGGCGCTATGAGTCAGAATTGACTCAACTGCAACTTTTTTTTTCAGTATATTAGTTAGGGAGCCCTGGTGGCGCAGTGGTTAAAAAACTCGGCTGCTAACCAAAAGGTTGGCGGTTCAAACCCATCATGGGAGAAAGATGTGGCTGTCTGCTTCCCTGAAGATTACAGCCTTGGAAACCCTATGGGGCAATTCTGCTCTGTCCTGTAGGGTCACTATCAGTTGGAATCGACTGGATGGCCGTGGGTTTTATATACTGGTTGGAATTTTTTGGTAGGCTAATACAGAGGGAAAAATGGATAATGCAGGAGAACAGTGAAAAAAAAATTCTAGAGCATCGTCCTTGAGTAGATGAAAGAGTAATGAATCTAGTGCACACGTCGAGGGGCTGGATTTACGAGCGCAGATAGTCCTCCTAAATAGTCCATCCATTATTGTAGAAGGGAAGGTAGAGTAGATGGGCACAGATGCAATTATGTGGATAGATGTCAGGGTAGGAGTTTGTGGAAGTTCTTTTCTGATTGCTCCTATTTTTAAAGTAAAATCTGAAGCAAGGGCATCAGCTGACAGTGAGAATTGGGGAGGTGGTATGATAGGTGTAAGGAGGGGAGAAGATGTGAAATAATTATCTTAGGAAGGTAGGATAGTGAATGGTTAGGGAAATGTAGTAGGCCTTGAGATTGGCGGTTGCAAATTTAAAGTAAAACCAGTTAGTTTCACCTTCTGCATTCATTTAGCTGCACAGGTACAGGCAGAGTAGGCAGATAATATATTTTATTCAGGACTAGAGTTTTGCCAGAAGAGAATAGTAAAACAAGAGAGAGGCAAGAGACATTAAGGGAATATATAAAGGAAGTGATTATGGCCTTGAAATTTAGACTGGTTATGGAGAGAAGTAAGGAGAGTGAAAAGGTAGTAGGATAATTGGATTATATATAGGTCCAGCTGAGTCAAAAGACTGTTGGAATTAGATTTATAGAGAGAGTGAGCTTGAAAAATAGTAGGTGTTGGTTGGAAAGCGGGATGCTTGTAATTGCGATTATGGAGGGTTCAGTCATTGGAAATGGTATGGTCTTCTCATTGGGTAAATGGCTGGAGCAGGGTGCAGGCAAGATCGTTGGAGGGGAGCGTGTCAGAAAACTGAGAGGCCCTGTTTCCCTCAAAGGGATATTATCCATCAAAGGTTGTGACCCCCTGGACAAATAGAGGAGGAAAGACATCTAGAATATAGATACACATAGCATAATACCATGAATTTGATCTATATCTAACACCTGAAAGTTAGGTTGTTGAGTTACACGCGGTTATATTGCAACACATAGTCAACACTTAAGCCCTTCATGGACTTCTGTTCTTTGCCAAAATGTTCTTGTAGTTGTAGGCATGGTAGGTGACATGAGGCATCTTTTCTTAATTGTCATTTTGAAATCAACTCCCTTCATCAAGGGTTTGTTATAACGCAGCTACTGCGGAAGTTTTTCTTGGCTTTCTGTTCTTGGCTTTCTGTGCACACCTCTTCTTTGGCTAGTCTTCCCTTTGGGGGTTAGCAGACTGTTGTGAATAATTTATTGGTGAGAAGGCAGGCAGAGAAGTAGGAGTGTTATATGACTCAGTAATTTAACATCAAGAAATCTATAGAAATAATAGTATGAATGCTTAAAGACATACACACACACACACACACACACATACACACATACACACACACACACACACACACACACACTCTCTCTCTCTCTCTCTCTCTCTACCTGGGTGTTCACCGAACATTATTTGTGATAAAATTTGTAAGCAACCCGCGTGTCATCAATAGGGGAAATAGTTAAATAAATAGTGACAGATAAAGAAAATGGAATTCTATACAGTATTAAAAAAATCAGATCAAGAAGTGGTATTAGGTTTTTGTTATCTCATCCTGTCAATTAGGTTGCTTTCAGCTGCAAATAATCAAAAAAACCAAAATGAGATTGACTTCCACAATAAAAGCTTATCTGTCGGCCTACGTATTTGACAGATCCTGAGGTAGCGTGACCTTCAGGCAAGTTCAGTCAGGGCTCTGACTTTCCCTGGCCTGTGCTTGGCCCTATTCTACTTGTTGGCTTTAACTGGAGGGTGGTTTTCTTATAAGATTGTAAGATGACTGCCTGCCTCAGCCACGGCTGTGTGTTTCTTCCTTCACATCAGCAGGAGTAAAAGCATTTTTTTCAACAACAAATGCAGTAAAGTCGTGAGCTTTGCTACATTTGGGCCACCTTGGAACCAATAATTATGGCCAAGGGATGGAGGCCAGAGAACTGAGACCAGGGTTACAGTTCCTATTCCTGAATCAATTGTATGGCAGTGGGAATGAGGTTTTCCTGTTGGCCTTAGGACAGTTGAGTTTCACTCCTGACTCTGGTGATGTCCTCAGTCCACTCAAAAAGCTTTGCTGTTACACATTGTGGGGGTGGGAAGGGCTAAGGCTATTAAAATTTTACTGTGTACAATGGGTCTGTTACTTCTTTCCTAGTATTAAGATAATCAACTTCTTTTTGCTCCTCTCATTTTTTATTTTATTAGAACCATGAGGCCATGTCTATCTGCAGGATCCCTGTTTTAAAAAATATAGATCACTATTTACTTCATTATTTCCATGGACCCTTCATAGTACTTTCAGATCGAAAGGAGGAAAGAAAAAAAGAGAGGCAGACACACCTACCATGCTTGCTGAGAAACAAACTGTAGCATAGGGAACTAGCTCTTCATACACCCGCCTTTAATTCCATTCTGTTACTGTGAGGGCCAGTTAACTGATATGAGTGCTCGTGAATTGGTTTTGCATTTACATACACCCAGAGTTTCATTTTATATTTTAAATTTAAATGGTAGCTACTACTGACATTTAGTTTTTTCTCTGTTTCACTTAGCACATATCTTAGAGAACTTGTTATCTGGATACATAGAATTCTGTTTTCTTTCTATTATTTACTGCTTGTTGTTAGCTGCCATCAAGTTGGCCTGCGACTCATGGCAACCCCATGCATAATGGAACAAAATGCTGTCTGGTCCTGCACCATCCCTATGACTGGTTGCAGAATAGGACAGTTGTGATCTATAGGGTTTTCAATGGCTGATTGAAGTAGATTACCAGGCTTTTCTTCCTAGTCTGTCTCAGTCTGGAAGCTCCGCTGAAACCTGTTCAGCATCATAGCAACACACAAACCACCACAGGTGGTGGCTTGACAGACAGGTGGTGGCTGTGCATGAGGTGCACTGGTGTGGAATCAAACCCAGGTCTCCCCCATGGAAGGCAAGAATGTTACCACTGAACCACCAGTGTCCTCAATGTCTGCTGCTTAGTATGCAATATGGGTAAATCATTGTTACTTCACTAACTGCACCCAATACTTTTTCTATTACCAATTGCTGTAATGAGCATCCTTTACATACATCTGTGTGTATATGTATTTCCATAGGATGGATATAATTGCTGGCTTTAAGGATCAAGATAGATAACTTCTGCAAAATGTCCTTCAGAATGGTGATACCAGCTTCGACTCTCTTGCAAATACTGCATATGAATAATCTTTTTAATTTTTGCCAATGATGGTGTATCAAAATTGTAGCCAGTTTTGTTGGCTTCATTTATTGAATAATTTGTTCTTCCTCAAAGATTAGAAATGCGTTCTTTTCATATGTCAGATTGCTATATTTACATGGATCTGTTTCTGGACATGGTATATTTTGTTCCCTTGATTTATTTTTCTAGTTTTACATGAGTTCCACCCTATTTTAATTATTGTAGTTTTGTACTGTTTGATATTTTGTAGAGTAAGTTTCCTCTTACTGGTTGTGTGTGTATATATATATACACACATATATATACATATTTCCTGCTCTTGAGCATTTTCTCTTACCTGTGAACTTTTTATATAAACTTGTGTGATTTTGTGAAAAATCCTCCTGACATTTTTTTCTTGGTATTGCTTCTTAAATGCATTGATTTAATTAATATATTTACAATTTTGAATCTAGCCATCTAGGAACTTAATGTGTTTTCTTCAGCCCTTATTTGATATCTTAGTAAATTTTCCTTGTTTTCTTTAAATGAGTCTTATATATTTTATGTTAGGTTTATTCCTAGGTAAGTGGTAGTTTTTGCTGTTTTTGAGTTTGGATTCTTTTTATAAACTATATTTTCTACTTAATTCTTGCCTATATATGGAAAAGTGCTTAATTTGCATATGCGGCTCTTGAATCTGGTCACTTTAGGAGTGTTTGTTCCTACTAAACAAATAGATGAATTATCTGCCCTCAAAGAGATACTTAGGAAAAATTATTTTAGGAGATTTAGCTTTCTGATAAAGTTAAGCTGATCTCTTGTAAAAGCTGGTCAGTAATAACCATAAAAGACAAGAGCACTAGGATAAGAAAGAAACAGGGCTTGAAAGTAGGCTCAGGAGGGAAGGCCCTTATTCCATTTATTTTTTTTGGAAAATGTGGAATTATTCTAACTCATTATTTCCCCATGAAAAAAATGTTCACAAGCCATGCTTCTTAATCCTCCCTTGTATTAAGCATTTTATTGAAAGAAAGGGACGAAATAACCTTTAAAAAAGGCTAATTGCTATTTGTTGTTGTTGTTAATTGTGTTGCTGTTAGTTGCTGCCCAGTTGACTCCAACACATGGTGACCGTATGTATGACGGAACGAAAGGGGGCCCAGTCCTGCACCATCTTCACGATTGTTGGTATGTTTGAGACCATTGTTGTGGCTAAAATGTCAGTCCATCTCATTGAGGGTTTTCCTTGTTTACAGTGACCCTCTGCTTTACCAAATGTGATGTCCTTTTCTAGTGATTTGTCTTTCTAGATGATCTGTCAAAAGTAAATAAGCTGAAGTCTCACTATTCTCATATCTAAGGAACATTCTGGATGTATTTCTTCTAAGACTGATTTGTTTATTCTTCTGGCAGTCCACGGTATATTTAATATTCTTCACCAACACCACAATTTGAGAGCATCAATTCTTCTCTCTTCCTTTTTCATTGTGCAACTGTTGCATGCATATGAGGCATCTGAAATGACTATAGCTTACCTTAGTCATCAAAGTGACATCTTTGCTTTTTACAACTTTAAAGAGGTCTTTTGCAGCAGATTTGCTCAATGCAATATATTGATTTCTTGACTGCTGCTTCCATAGACACTGGTTGTTGATCCAAGTGGAGTGAAATCATTGGCAACTTCAATTTTTTCTTCATTTATCATAATGTTGTTTATCGGTCCAGTTGTGAGGATTTTTTTCTTCATGTTCAGGCATAATCCATACTGAAAGCTGTAGTCTGTGACATTCTTCAGTAAGTGCTTCAAGTAGTCTTTATTTTCGGTAAGCAAGGTTATGCCATAGCCATCACATAATGGCACCTGATCTACTTTTGCTGTTCATTCATAAAACTGAGGTACTGTGTAGCACAGTGGAAAAGATAATTGGACTGGGAGGTAACTTTTTTCCTTCCAGAAAGTACACAATCACGAAATTGCTGATTTTTTCCCTCTTATTCATATTACATAAATCTACCCTATCTGAGGAGACTATATTTGAGGTTCTTATGAAAGATTTGCTTTGGGTGAATTTTTGGTTGTTATGGAATTATGTATTTTCTCATCTCTTTTCCACTCTGTCTCCCTTTTTATCTTTTACCTTTTCCTCCTGCATGTAAACTGATCTTATTGTGAAATTTATGCATTTTTGTTCCATCTGGAAATGCTCAATTTCAACCGATTGTAGGCCTTCTCATACTAAAATTAACCATCACTCCCATTTACTTAAGTTACAGTTTTCTGCTACATTGTAACTGAAACACTGTTTGAAACACTATTGCAAAAAAGTTTTGAAACTTTCTATTTATGAAGTTATGAAATTTTGGTACTGTTATTTCCTTTTGTTTATCCTTGTAGCTAATTTTTATTTAAGATAAGGGATTAAAGAAGGAAGAAGATTGACCAAATAATTTTATTTTCCATTATATATGTGTATTAGTTAGAACACAAGTACAGAAAACTTGATTCAAACAGCCTTAAAAAATATACATTTATTATTAAAATGTACCTGGAAGCCCAGAGGTTGGGCTGACTTGAGAATTGGCTTCGTCCATTGACTGTGGCTCCATTTCTCTTCCATGCCTTCTTCTGTGTGTTAGCTTTGTCCCTAAGCTGGCTTTGTCCTTAAACTGACTTCCATCGTGGTAGCAGAATGACTGTAGATGGTCTGGGCTTCATATTCTCAAATAGAGAGCATCTCTGCTGGTGACTTTCTTATAAGAGTGAGAAAATGCTATTCTCAGACACCCCCCTGCAGACCTCCTCTTTTGTCTCATTGGCCTAAGTTAAGTCATTTACAGTAAACCTGAGAAAGCTGTAACGTGTGTAAGGTGAAAACCTGTCAGAGAAGGAAAACTCAAATATTTTCTACTAAAAGGAATGATAGAAAAGTGGGAAGACTGCACCCTGTCAAAGGCGGAAAACCTGGGACACCTGGAAATACAAGACAGTCCGGTGGAGTTCTGGCTCTCACATGTTTCACTGTATTTTATTCTTGAACCAGATCTTATAGCCTTGAACTTAGGCCTGAGTTTCTGAATCTCCATTGTGTTAGGGTTATGTGATTACCTTTAGAGCAGTTGGGTCTACCATGGGAGCTGGGAGTGGCAGCAGCTTTCCTGAGGCACCTTGGCTTTGTGGGTGACTGGTCATTATCCGAATTAAATTTATGGTACTGTTAAAAGAGGGTGCAGACAAAATAGATATATGCACACCCATGTTCATTGCAGCACTGTTTACGATAGCAAAAAGACGGAAACAACCTAGGTGCCCATCAACAGATGAATGGATAAACAAATTATGGTATATTCACACGATAGAATACTACACAATGATGAAGAACAATGATGAATCTGTGAAACATAACATGGAGGAATCTGGAAGACATTATGCTGAGTGAATTTAGTCAGTCACAGAAGGACAAATATTGTATAAGACCACTATTATAAGAACTCAAGAAAAGGTTTAAACACAGAAGAAAACATTCTTTGATGGGTACGAGGATGGAGAGGGAGGGAGGGGGTATTCAGTAACTGGATAATAGATAATTTTCTTAGGTGAAGGGAAGGACAGCACACACTACAAGGGGGATGTTAGCACAACTGGACTAAACCAAAAGCTAGAAGTTTCCTGAATACAGCCAAACACTTTGAAGGACAGAGTAGCAGGGGCAGGGGTCTGGGGACCATAGCTTCAGGGGACATCTAGGTCAATTGGCATTACAAAGTTTATTAGAATGTTTTGCATCCCACTTTGATGAGTGGCATCTGGGGTCTTAAAAGCTAGCGAGTGGCCATCTAAGATGCATCAGTTGGTCCCAACCACCTGGAGCAAAGAAGAATGAACACCAAAGACATAAGGAAAATATTAGCCCAAGAGACAGAAAGGGCCACATAAACCAGAAACTCCATCAGCCTGAGACCAGAAGAACTAGATGGTGCCTGCTACCACCAATGATTGCCCTGACAAGGAACACAACAGAGAGTCTCTGATGGAGCAGGAGAAAAGTGGGGTGCAGAACTCAAATTCTAGTAAAAAGACCAGACTTAATGATTTGGCTGAGACTGGAGGGACCACGGAAGACATGACCCCCAGACTGTCTATTGGCCCAGAGCTGAAACCATTCCTGAGGCCAACTCTTCAGACAAAGATTAGACTGGACTATGGGACATAAAATGATACTTGTGAAGAGTATGCTTCTTAGCTCAAGTAGATACATGAGACTAAATGGGCAGCTTCTGTCCAGAGGTGAGATGAGAAGGCAGAGAGGGTCAGGAGCTGGTTGAATGGACACGGGAAATCGGGTGGAAAGGAAGAGTGTGCTGTCACAGTATAGGGAGAGCAATTCGGACCACATAACAATGTATAAGTTTTTGTATGAGAGACTAACTTGAGTTGTAAACTTTCACTTAAAGCACAATTAAAAAAAAGGTGCAGGGTGCAGTGGATGCTGGGTAGGCAACCGTCAACGGCCAGTTAATAGTAAGTCCTATAAAATTTCCTCTCAGGCCGTATGAAGTAACAGTAATAAATATAGAAGGAAAAATAGACAGCCTAAGCAAGTTTTAAATTGACTCCCTTGAAAACTTTCTCTGCAGCTTTCCAGTTTATACTGGTTGATTTCAGCTGACTGGCTATAGCTACTTACAGAACAGAGGAAATTCATTAAAAATAATGAATTATTCAGTTGCATATTATAATTCAGTTATAAAGCACTTCACTGTGCCATGGATTCAGTTCAGGTCAAGTCATGTTCCTGGTATTTGGGCATTGTGGATTTCTAACTATGACACAGCATATAGAGAGGATTTTATCCTTTTCCCGTCGCTAGCATTTTATTCTATCTATTTGAGTGGTTCTGTTTACACTTTAATCCTATGTATTTGATTGGTTCCATTTACACTTTATTTCACTCATTGACTTTACTAATACATAACTGTTATGTATCTAATATTTGACAGTTACAAAAATTTGGGAGATAGCTATAAAGAAAAGATCTCTCAAAAACATTATCCTATCACCTTTTAAAATTGCAGTGACTTACTGTAACCTAGCCAAATGCTAATGATAGTTTTATTTAGCTTTTCTGGTTTGCTTGTTTGGACTATTTGGAGGGAAATTAAGATTTGCAGAATTCAGAAATAGATTAATGAAAGTCTTAAAAGCCTCTTTAATTAGGGAATTTAATGAGGGCTTTCTCATGGATTCTGTGATTCCTTTCTCTTTTCCTCCATCTCTTCCTATTCCTATTAGTGAATAGATAAAGGATATTTCAAAAACAATACAGAATACCTTGTAAATTGTATCTTCTACAGTAAATTATAGATTGTGTGTATGTGTGTGTGTGTATGTCTGTTGTGTTAGTTGCCATTGAGTCGACTCCGACTAATGATGACCTTATGTATAATACAATGAAATGTTGTCTGGTCCTGCTCCATCTTCATGATTGTTACTATGTAAGTCTATATATATGTAATGAAGTCCTGCTGGCACAGTGGTTAACGGCTCGGCTCCTAACCTAAGGTGGACGGTTCGAACCCACTCGCCACTTCTTGGGAGGAGGGTGTAGCAGTCTGCTTCTGTAAAGATGACAGCCTTGGAAACTCTCTGGGGCAGTTCTACCCTATCCTGTAGGGTCGCTATGAGTCGGAATCGTCTTGGCTGCACACAACAACGCGACAAAATATTATGTATGTGTGTATATGTGGAAACCCTTGTGGCATAGTGGTTAAAAGCTACGGCTGCTAACCAAAAGGTTGGCAGTTCGGACCCACCAGGCGCTCCTTGGAAACCCTATGAGACAGTTCTGCTCTGTCCTGTAGGTTCGTTATGAGTTGGAATCAACTCGACGGCAATGGATTTTGTTGGTTTTTGGTGTATATATATGTGTGTGTGTATATATGTATTCATACACACATAAACTTATACCTAGTGTATTGGTAACTGAAATGGTAACTCAAAATGCAAGGTCACATTTTCAGAAAATATATAATAAAAGAAATCGAGCCCAGAATTTTTAAAGTTCATTTCAGCACAGATTGGAAACCCTATAGTGGTTAGGAGCTATGGCTGCTAACCAAAAGGTCAGCAGTTGGAATCCTTGGAAACCCTATGGGGCAGTTCTACTCTGTTCTATAGGGTCTCTATGAGT